TTAGCAGCAGGGAACTTCCCAAGCAGGCAGAGATTAGGTTATTCTGGAAGGACCTGAAGATACATTAGGGAGGGTTTCCCAAACATCAGTGAATTCCATATCACTTTTCTTATATCTGCCTTTTGTCCACATTATTACATACTTAGTTTTCACTGAAATGACTTTTAAATCAATAGGCTTTAAAAATGTGCAGTAATTTTAGGCTCTATTATATACTATATGACAAGTTTGAAATTCAAATTTGATATTTACATCTGAAAATTTTCAAATGTAGATTAAGCCGGGAAATGATGAAAGTGTAAGAAATTGTTTGCGTTTGTTAGATGGTTTTCTGTGACAAGTCGCACCATTGCAACCCTTGGGAGCTGTTGTTAACAGGCATTAGTGTTTACAAGCGGAACATTGCCTTCCTAGGAGAGCCCCCTTTTCCAGAGAACTTCCATTCACTCCTTAACTGTCCTCATAAGGAGACCCTTCCACTGTGGAGCAGAAATGAAAGGCTGCACCATGCCCGTCGCCAGCAGGCACGGGAAGAGAGGTGGCTTGGTTCTTATTACTCATGCCTCTTAAATCTGTAGGCTGAGACCATGGGAGGAGGGGCTGGGAGGAGACAGGAACAGCAGGAGCTATTGGGGGCTGGGGGAGGGGAACTTGACCTTTTGGGGGCTTCTGGATTCCCAGGAGCGCTGTCCCAGACAGCCATGCTGCGTCTGCCTGGCCCCCCCACCAGTGTGTAGCTGTTGGAAGGCAGTTCTGCTTCATAGAAAGCACATAATCATGCTTATAAATTGTTACTAAATGAATATTAAAATTTTTTTTCTTTATAGTATCAACAATGAAATCATTAACATTACTAAAAAGAAAGGGCCTTTAGGTATCATTCTGAAGGAGGTAAAGATGCGGCAAGCTGAGGGATTGGGGTACCACTCTACATGCAGTCCTGGGGGGAGATGAGACTCCAGGGAGGAGATTGGAGATGCCATCACCAAAGGACCATGGAAAATAAGCTGCATCTGATGTCTCGCAGCAGCAAGAAGACCCGGGAGGCCTTTCGGGCGTGAACTATGAAGGGAGGGCTTGCTGCGGTCTCACCCCCAGGACCCTCGTCCACGCGGCCACGCTGCCAGAGTGTGTGGAACAGTGGAACCAGAAACAGGTGATAAGTCACTCTGAGAGATATGATCACTAAAGGACCATGTTGAAAGCCAAATAATTAGTCACAATAAGTTAGCAATAAGTCATAACTAAACATTCTTAGCGAATGGTGAATCATGAATAATCTGACTTTTTCCTGGACTTATTTCTGGTTTCCCTGCCAACCACATTGTCATTATTTAAATACATAAATCAATTCAAGTAACAAATATATTAGTACCTTGAATGGCCGACCAAAGAAGTTCTTCAGGGATTAGATTTTTCAGAGATGGGGTTGGGGGCCAACAGGTTTACTCTTCAAAAGTGGAAGAAATGGAAGGAAGTCACCTGGGAATGACTCTGGTAGAGGAAGTGGTGTGATGGGGCTGCAGAACTGTGAGGAGAGCTTCCTCACGGGGCCAGCCCAGAGGCTGGGGCTTGGACACCTGCAGTGCAGAAGGTCTTGGAGTCCTGGCGAATCCCAGATAGCCACCATGGTGCAGGATTTATTAAGACTACAATGTCCAGCTCAGAGCGTGTCTCTGCTCTGTTTGGAGGAAGGCAGCTTGTGAAAATATGGCCCTGGTAGTCACTGTTGGTGGGTACCCGTATGTCTCTACTTGTAAAAAAAATTTAAGGAGAATATTTTCAGTGAAGGACCACTAAGCATGTGCCCCAAGGAGGGGGGATCTTGGGGCAGGATGCTCTCAGTGACCAGGGCACACGTCAAATCCTTTTTTTTTTTGGGTCAAGAGTTTTGGGTGAATCGCACTGGGGTTGTGCCCAATGTGCAGCTGCCCAGGTGTGGGCTGCTCCATTTTCCATTAGTGTTGCCTGCAGTGCAGGGGCCACCTCAGTTCCCCATCAGCTTTGGGGAATCTGAAGAGTCTGATTGGTGGGGTTCAGGGAGAGGGGTCATATCTTGTTTTAGGTGCTCTGAATTATTTGATTCAGTCTGCAGGCTCACATTGTGTTGATCCGTTTAATGTCATTTGGTCAGTGGAAGTGGCAGCTGGCGGCAGGTTGTTTGGTCTTATTGTTTTCTTTTTTCAGAGAATTGTATGAAAGTTCACAGAGGAAAATTAATTGATCAGAAATGAAAATGAGTGAGAGCCAATGGAATCTCCCCCTTCTCGTAATCATCTCAGGAGTATCTAAGAGATGTGATTTCCAAAACAAGGGGGACCCTTCTTGCCCTCAAGGAGCACAGGAGGCTGACACCATCTTCTCTCAGGACACCTTCTTACATATCGATAGATCCTTCTCTCGTGACAAAAACTGATTGCATCAGTCGCAGAGGAAGACGCAACTGACCCAAACAATAAGATGACTGTAGAGGGACACTCCTGTAGGCAGAGAAGCCGAAGTTCAAGTAAGAGCTAGATAATTATCCCTTTGATTCTCGAGGATCTATTTTGATTTCTTAACACCTTCTTTATGACTGTTTGGATTCCACACCCTTTTCCTGAGACATGCAGTCCTGAGAGCCTCCCCTGAAATCCCCCTCAAGCCCCTGAACCATGCCCACCTGTGCACTGTCAGCAGAAAGCCCCTTTTGTGTACCAGCCCTCATCCTACCAGAAAAAAAGTTCTATCCAAGATCATACTCAGTCTCCAGATATTTTCAGAACCATGAAATAAGAGCAAATGTTTCATCCCAGTAGGTGGGTTCTGAGTCCTCTCAACTCTCTTTTGTATCCTTGCTAATCTTTACACCTGCCCTGTCTGGTATGATGTGCGACAGAGAGCAAAATAGTTTTTCATTGTGTTCTTGATTGTTATGACCTAATAATGAATGTGTTTGAGCATCACACACACACACACACACACACACACACAAAATCAACCATTTATGTTTATTTGTGAAATAACTTCTTGTGCCTTTTACTTAATTTTTTCTTATAATATTTTAAACTTATGTGTAGGAGTTGATATCACTGGAAAAAAGTGCTTATTGAAAGCTTGATATAACCTGCACCAAAATAAAATTGGGGGCTTAATTTGGCAAAATATCTGTCCTGTTAGGATATTTTAAACTGCTATTTTGATTTTTAAAATAATTGTAAAGGTAGTCACAATTTTTGTTGCTTCTAGAGGGATTTTTTTACAATAAATTTTAATTTTATTTAAAAATTCTGGCCAAGTAAAATCTGTAAAACCTGGGTAAGCTTATGGAATAAAAATCATGAATGGAAAGTTTTTAATGTCTTAGATCTCTTTTTTTCTCTGCATAGTTTTTAAAATAACTTTTTTTCATTGTGGTAAAGTGTACATGACATAAAATCTGCCTTTTTAAGACCATTTCACAATTGAGTGTTGTTAAGTACATTCACAATGTCGTGCAACAATCACCATTATCTAGCTCCAGAATTTTTCATACCCCCAAACAGAAACTCTGTACCCATTAAATAATCACCCCATTCCTCCCTCCTCAAATCCCTGGTAACCTCTACTCTTATTTCTCATCTTTATGAATTTGACTCTTCTAGGCACCTCATATTAGTGGAATCATACCATATTTGTTCTTTTGTATCTGACTTATTTGACTTAACATAATGTTTTCAAGGCTTATCTATGCTGTAGCATGTGCCAGGACTTCATTCCTTTTCATGGCTGGTAATATTCCACTGTGTGTTTATACCATATTTTATTTATCCACGCATTGGTTTATGGACATATGTGTTGTTTCCACCATTTGGCTATTGTGAATAATACTGATACCTATTTTAGTCCTTTCTGCCTATTCACTTGAGTATATACTTAAAAGTAGAATTGCTGGATCATATGGTAATCCTGCTTATCTTTTTAAGGAAACACCAGACTTGTCCACAGTGGTTGCGCCATTACATAGTCCTACCAGCAATGCATAATGGCTCCAATTTTCCCACATCATCACTGACACATGTTATTTTCTGTTCGTTTTGTTTGCTTGATAATACCATCTTATTAAGTGTGAGGTGGTGCCTCACTGGGTGTTTGATTTGCATTTCCCTGATGATTAGTGATATTGAGCTTCTTTTCATATGCTTATTGGTCATTTGCATACATTCTTTGGAGAAGTATCAATTCAAGTCCTCAGCCCATTTTTGAATTGGGTTTCTTGTTTTGTTTTGTTTTGTTTTAGGAGTTCTTTATATATACTGGATATTAATCTCTTATTAGCAAATGATTTGCAAATATTTTATCTCATTCTGTGGGTTGTTTTTTTATTCTTTTGATAGTGTATTTTGATGTGCCAAAGTTTTTAGTTTTGATAAAGTTCAAAGTATCTATTTTTTCTTTTCTTACCTGTGCATTTAGGGCCATATCCAAATAATCATTGCTTAACCCAATGTCATGAAACTTTTCCCCTATCTTTTCTTCTAAGAGATTTATAGCTTTATCATTTACATTTAGGTCTTTGATGCATTTTGGGTTAATTTTTGCATAAGGTGTAAGATCATTCATTTTTTGCATGTGGATATCCAGTTTCCCCAGTACCATTTACTTGTCCCCATTGAATGATCTTGGCACTCTTGTCAAAAATCAAGTAACCATATATAGGAAGGTTTATTTCTGGATTCTATTTCATTGATCTATGTGTCTGTCTTTATGACAGTATCACACTATTTTGATAACTAGCTTAGTACTAAGGTTTGAAATCAGGAAACATGAGACTTCCCTATTTGTTCTTTTTCAAAATTGATTTGGCTTACTCATGATTCACTGAAGTTCCACATGAAATTTCAAGGTGGTATTTTCTCTTTCTACAAGAAACACAGTTGAAATTTTAATAAATATTGCACTAGAAATGTTGATTTTTGGGGTAGTACAGTCATCTTAGTAGTATTGTCTTCCAATCCATGAGTTTGGGATGTCTTTCCATTTATTTAGGTCTTTAATTTTTTTAGCAGTTAGTTTTTAGCTTTCCATGTATAGATATTTCACTGATTCATGAGAAAGAAATAAATGTTTGCTATTTTAAGCCACTGAGATTTTGGAGTTGTGCAACGTAAACTATCTTATCTTCATATATTCACCTAACCTCACCTTACCCTCCAGGGCTACTTCTGTCCGTGATTTCATATCCTATCATTTCCGCCTTTCCCTTCTCTAAGAGCTATTGTTCCAGTTACATATGACTGCATAACAAACCACTTAAAACCTTAAAGCAACAATGATTTATTGTTTCTCATGATTCCCTGGGTTGGCTGGGCTCACCTGCATGGTAGCAGAAGGTCACTTATGCAGTTGCATTTGGTAGGAGCTTGGCTGGGCTGGCATGTATAAGATGGGCTTTCACCCTTGGGGATCTCTCTCCATGTGGTCTCTCATCTTTCAGAAGTCTAGCTCAAGATTCTTCACAACATGGAGCTTTCTGAGAGGATAAGTGCCCATGTGCAAGTCCTTATCAAGTTTCCACTTGCATAACATTAGCTACTGTTTCATTGGCCAAAGCAAGTCACATGGCCAAGCCCAGAGTCAATTTAGGTGAAACTATGAATGACGGGGATTCCAGAAGGCATGTATTTTGGGAGACCTTCAATATAAGTCATTACTTAAGCATTAGCAATGAATATTCAATTTTAAAAGTATTTTGTTTAACAGTAACCCTTAAGGAACAAATAAGTGCCACCTCTATTTTACAAAGAAAGAGACTGGGGCTCAGAAATCTGGACACCCAGAATCATACAATTATACATGGTAGAATAGACATGACCTTAGGTCTTATTACTCCAAGTCCTGTGTTTTCATATTGTATCACAGCTGCCTTTGGCTGAAAACAACCTGTGCTATCTCACTATGATTTCCATAAATAAAATCATCCATTTTTCCAAATATTTCTTATAGAGCTTAGAGTTCCTTATTTTTATACTCCTGTGTAAATGTCAATACTAACAGATCACCACTGACTAACAGGACTTGTGTTGCTGGTGTGGAGTTGGGTTGGGTGGGACTTACAGAGAAAAATGTGTATTGAGAGAGAATCCACATTCTCATTACTGCTTTCAATTTCTGGATGCTGGAGAATAAATCTCGAGGAGAGTAAAATCAGATCTGGCTCAGTGATGCAGCCGCCATGGGAACCAATGGCCCAGGATCAGAGATCCAGGGAAACTACAGCCCTGCTTCCAGACCCTCCCTGGATGAGGCGCTCCCCTGGGGACCACCCTCTGCAGAGTCTTGTCTGGTTCCATACTGTCGGCCTCCAGCCTCCAGGGGACACTTTTCATTAGCAGCTTTGGCTGGCCGGGCCTTTAATCCATTCCCTTCACTCTCCTTGTTATTTTCCTGGTTTGGAGAGAAAGAAGAAAAAGTTTAACTGTAAACCCATTACCTCTGAACAACTCCCACCCCCCTTATAGAGATATCTTTGTTAAGGAGCTTCTCCTTTATTTAAGCAATCTCAGGCTGCTCTGGCTCATATGACATTCTGACTTCACACAAGAGAGGCCAATATGAAGTGTCACAGGGTAAAGGGCATTAGAAAACCAAGTCACGCTGACCACGGGAGCTCAGCAAAATTGCAGCATGTGATTACTAGGTGCGGAAACACTTGTCTCTGTGGGCCTGAAGCTTAAGTAGCCCGCCTTCCCATCTCAGGGCTATCGATGTCCCCATCAGGAGGTCACGTACCTTATTTTGTGTTCTATAATACTCGTTTAACATATACTGATATTTGGGTTGATTGAGACCAAAGAAGACAGCAAATCTCCCGCCAAGGAATTCACAGGCTGAAAGAAAGAACCAGCGCTTTGTTATGGTGAATTAATAACTAGAGCTGAGAGTCGGCGGAAGTACCGAGTGTAAACTTGCCTGCCAGGGCTGACAAAAGATTTCACTCACTCTGGACTCACCCAAAATTCTAGGACTCAAAGGGTGTTTGTTAAATCTTCTGTCTTCATGTGTGATTACATCTCATCCACCCTTTCCAGATGAATATATCAGGAGAGACTTCCAAAACACTAATAACAAGTATATGACTGGTTCTGAGCAATCAGAAGAGATGCTGCCTATTTCTGTGCCTATCAGCTGATCATCGGCTGTGAGTATATTTCAAATTATACCAAATATGTAATCCAGTGTTACCAAGACTCATGCCAGAAATTCTTAGCAGCAGTTTAAGGCCTTACTTGCCTGCTTTCAGTCGCAGTAGCAAGGTGACCTGTAGGCTCAGTGCTGTGACTGTTAGAATCAGGGACAGAGGTTTAACATGAATAATGAGTGGTTTCCTGAAGCTCCTAGAAATGTTTTCCCTTAAAATTACTGGACGTCTGAGCCCTCCTATGACAGGGCTTTCTGGCTCCCATGACTCATTCATTTCTTGGAGTATTTCTCTTAGCATGCATCAGAATGATGCTCTATTTCTAAAAAATGTGTTTTATCTTTCCAAAAACACTTTAGCGCTTTAAGCAGTTTGCTTGCCACAGTGCCTAGTACATGTATAGAAGAGAGGTTTTTGAAATATTAGAATAAATATTGGGAAGTTTTCCTATTTGTAACCTACTAGAACTTGAAATTTTTAAAATAATTAACTACCACCACTGTTATCTGGGTTCCAGCTCTACCCAAAGTCTCTGTGTAGAGACCAGGGTGCTGACCACTAGCATATTTATGCCTCCAGTACAATCTGGAAACCCCAAGCAGAAACACTTTGATGCTACAGCTCTGTTCGGAGCCCTAAAGGCCGCCGGACTCCCTGTGCGTCCTGTCCCTGCTACACTGTCAAAGCCTAACATGGAAATCACTGTAGTCCATGTTCTCCCACATACGCCCTTTGAAGCTGGGTTAGGTTTTGCCCCTTTCACCTGACCTAATCTCCTAAAGCTCCTTCCCTCCAGAACATGTCAGCTCTTCAAACAATCTTGTCCCAACTAGAGCACACAGCTCTCCAGAAGACAGCCGTTCTTCTGCCAATGTATAATGGTTGAGGTGATTGGTATTTCACCTGGATTCCAAAAGTAATTTCCAGGTCACTCAGCCTCCACCCTGATGCAAATGAGCTTATTTCTTTAAGTCCATTACCATCTGACTAAATCATCCCTATCATTGCTTTTTACTGTAACTGAAAGACCCGACCCCATCACTTTCATGGTCCCCAAACTGGCCTCAGCCAGACATACTTTCATAGCACTGTTAAGCCATATGCCAGCATTCCCATGTGTCCCAGTCAAGAGTCCCTATGTTCCTTCTACCTTGGCAATTATGACAACAAACTGTGATTACAGGCATGTCTACTGGCCTATGTTATCCATTGAATACTGAGTCTTTTGAAGGCAGAGGTTTTCATTTGTCTTTGTGTCCCAGGGTCCAGCACAGTGCTGAGCATGTATTGGCACTCAGTTAATGTTTATTTAATGAATGAATAAAGATCAGTTCCGAAGAGTTATATTTTCTCAGATTTTTAAAGTTGTTTTCCCTTCCTATCATATACACGAGCATATGTAAGGTAGAAGGAAATGAGGAATTAGATGTCACCAGTTGTGAGTGTAAAGAAAACTGGTGGAAGTCAAGCAAAATAAGATTTAGTATTCCTTCTGTTACAAATAGCCATTTTGGCCGTTCACTAAGCCCCTGGGAGGTGTCAATAAAGTTCTTGTTCATAGCAGGTGATTATGTCAAGGGAGCTTGGAACTGTGACATATAATAATAGTTAAAAAAAAAACTTGGAAGTTTATTCAGGTGAAGAGTCAGCCCTGGAGGACTGATTATTGTCTTCAAATATTTGACACTCTGTCCTGTGAAAGAGGAATCTGGACTGGCTTTGTAGGGCCTTAAGAAAGACATCTAGGATCAATGGGAATAGCTTTATAAAAGGCATAATATAAGATAGGATTTACTCAGAGTTGGAAAAAGATGGAAGGGTGAAGTTCTAAGCCTTTGGGGATGTTCAAGCATGGATCTGCAAGTGACCAGATCGCCACTTTTTCAGGACACTGTGGAGTGGTTTAAACTATTGGGAGTCCCACGTTACTCTCAGAGTCTGAAAGTCTATATTTAGGACAGAAAAAAATAACCTTAACAGTACTTACTAGAAAATGATGTTCTTGCTATTTGCTCTACCCAAAACCATAGGTAGGGTCCCCATGAAAGTTTAGGCTGAAAAAAAATCAAGTTAGAGAAATTAATAATAGGAGTGGTGACTACACAGTCTTTCATGTAGAGTCTTCAAAATGCTTTGTAATAAGTTCCATTTTCTCTCTCATAGATGAGAAAACTAAGATTTATCAAAATTATAAGTTGACTATAGATGGATTTAGAAAGCAAACCAAGGAGAACAAGTTTAACTTAAAACTATAATTTCTATAAACCTTATCTTTTAATTTCACTTTCACTCAGCCCCAAGTTCACTAATATTGATATTCTAAGCTTACAGGATCAAGTGTGGAATTCTGTTTCTCTTTTTCTTCCTCCTCTGTGCTGTATTCTTCCATGATGTCTCCATCAGTGAAATGGATTATTCTTTTGGGAATGGTCCTTTTGGGAGATCCACTCTTCTCTAGTTCTAACGGCTGGAAACTGTCTTTTTCCATAAGGGAACAAAATAACTACTTGATCAAAAACAGGACACCTTAGGGCAAGTCACCCAAGGCAGTGTTTATATAGCTGAGAGGTGTCTAGTTATTTTCAGTGGATGGTAAAGACAGAGAGTTCAGACATAATTATGGCTATGATCTCAACAATTCTTCAAATTCAAGAGAGGACGAATGTTCAGTTCTGCACCAAAATGGAAAAGATTCAATTAGTTGTGACAATGTGCATTTCCGGTCTTCAAACAAAAATTTCCACAGGGTTCCTTTACCCTTTATTAATTGCAAAACCAGCAAATGCTAGTAGGAAGAGGTCATTGCCCGGTGCAAGTTTCTCAATGATTTCAATAAATATTGAGACACAATATGATAGTGATTAAGAGTATAGACTTTGAACAGACAGGAGAAAATATTTTCCAAATATATAACCGGTAAAGGATTTATTTTCAGAATAGGTAAACATCAATTCAATAGGTAGAAGACAAACAACTCAATTAAAATAGGGGCAAAGGATTTGAATGCAGATTTTACCAAAGAAGAGTTACAGATGCCAAGCAAACTTAGGAAAAGATGCTCAATGTCATTAGTCATTAGGGAAATGCACACTGAAACCACAATAAGATTTCATAACATACTCACTAGAAGGCTAAAATTAAAAACAGTAACAACCTAAATGTTGAGGAGTAAGTGAAGCAACCAGAACCCTCATACATTGTTAGTGGAAATACAATATGGTACAACCACTTTGGAAAACAGTTCTGCAGTTTCTCAAAATTTAAGCATATGCTTGCTGTCTAATCATGAATTTCCATGCTCTTGTGGGTTCAGAGATCCATTTCCAACATAGGGGGAGTTTCCCCTGCCAAGGAGCAATTTTCAAACTGCCAGGATACTGGTTGGGTGTTCCACAATTCAACCTAATTCTGATACTATCTACCCAGAGATAGCACTAGGTCCCACAGGTCAGGGGTCCAAACCCACAGGGCTGTCCCTTCCCCACACTTCAGATGCCAATAGCAAGCCCAGATTGTTACCTGCGCGTCTAACCTACTGGCCATAAATCAGAAGTTCTATAAATCAGAGGTTCCCAGGACCCCTTCCTTGGGTTTGGCTAATTGGCTAGAGTGGCTTACAGAATTCAGAAAACCCATTCACTCACTAGATTACTCTTTATTATAAAAGGATGTAACTCAGGAATGGACAGATGGATAAGATCAAGGTATGGGGAAGGGGTACAGAGTTTCCATGCCCTCTCTGAGCACAACACTCTTACCTGGTCTCCATATGTTAGCCTACTTGGAGGTTCCCCAAGCCCTATCCTTTTGGGTTTTTATGGAGGCTTCATTTCATAAATCACTGGAGATCACCCAACCCTCTAACCCCATCCTCAGGCGGGTCCAAAGGTCACCTCATTAACAGAACAACACACCTTTGTCTTTCTCACTACTTCCAAGGGTTTTAGAAGCTCTGTGCTAGAAATGGTGAATAAGACCAAATACATATTTGGGTCTAGATATTTATCCAAGAAAAATGAGAACATATATACATCTAAAGATTTTTATGTCAATTCACAGCAGCTTTATTTGTAAGAGCCCCAAATTGGACTCCACCCAAATGTCCATCGACTGGTGATGGATACACAAAATGTGTTCTGTCTATTCAATGGAACACCACTCAGTGGTGAGATGTAATGGACACTCATATATGTGACACTGTACATTCTCCTCAAAAGCACTATGCTAAGTGAAAGAAGCCAGACACTATATATTAAATGATTCCATTTATGTGAAATTTTATAAAAGGTAAAATTATAGTAGTAGAAAATAGATCAGTGTGTGCTAGGGGTAAGAGGATAAGGGGAAGAGTTTACTCCAAAGGCACAACAGGGAAATTTGGGGGTGATGGGAATGTTCTAATAGCTATTGTGGTTGTAGTAGCAGTTACCCAGTTGTATACATTGGTTAAGATAGATCAAATTCTACAATTACTACTGAGTAATTGTATTCTATTTAAATTATATCTCAATAAGCTGATAAGCTTTAGAACCAGACTTCCTAGGTTCAATATCCTTTCACCATATATCCCTGTGCCTTGGTTTCCCTACCTATAACATAAGAATAACACACCTTGAGTATATGTTTGAATATAGCACCAACCTTATAAAATTGAGGATTAAATAAATAAAGACAGGTAACGGAATTAGAACAATTCTTAGCAAATAGTAAGTGCTTAATAAAAGCTAGATATTATTGAATACTTATTTTAATAGTATATATGTCTTAATTACTACTGAATATAATTTAAGATTATATCAACAAATATGGCCAACTGAGTTGATGTGGAAGACTTCATCCTGTTCCAAACACACAGAAATACTGGATAAAGTCAAACAAAACATTGAATCAGGTTGCACTAAGGAAGTAAGAAAGATAGAGACAGAGAGAGAAACAAAGAATGCCAGTTTAAGTGTCAGAAAAAGAGAGAAAACTCATATTCATAAGGGTGAACCGAAGTTGAGATACTTCCTGAGAGTTTGTGAACTACACGTAGGCTTTGGGGCTAATGTTTTAATACTGGTACAGAGAGGAAAGAGTCCAAATCACAGATCCCACATGTGTGGGGAGCTGAAATGAAGCTTCCTGTATAAAACTAAGACAATGAAGTACTATTTTTTCTATAAAATAGTAAGAAGTATTTTACTATATGGACTAGAAAAACTACCCACCTGCTTACAAAAGTGGCAGTAATCTGTCACCTCCTGGCAACACAGGTAGAAACAGTCACTTGAGAAATATTGGAACCTTGGGCCAGCGCCATACACTGGTATGTGGCCCAGATTCTTAGTCCTTAATACAGTCCCAGCTCTGAAGAGAAGCTGAATGACCTAAAGGCAGGGTAAGGCACAGAACTGTCAGATGCAAACACAAAACCACCCTGCAGGGATCCTCCGACAAGCCAGGGCACACTGGATCTCTACTCAGAACACCCCATAATGAGGACATGCCCATTGCAAAAACTTACAAGTCACGTGGAGAAACCAACCCTCATGAGGAAAGTTCAGAGGATGAAAAAGTAGGAGAATCCTCAGCCACGAATTAGGAATAATAGAATGCAAAACTTTAAAATGAATCTGTTTTATATGTTCAAAGAGATAAAGAAAGAAAAACATTATCACATCCAAAAGGAACAGGTTGATTCAATTCTAGAAGTGAAATACGTAGTTGACATAGGGTAGGTTGGATGTAGATTAAACAGTAAGGAACTCTCTCATAACACAGCATAAAGAGATATATATTTATATGTTTTAACACAAAAGAAAAGTTATGAGATACAAACAATAGATAAGAAAGTTCTGATATGTTTATGGGAGTTTCAGGAGAAGTGAATAGAAAGAGCATTTGAAGAGGTAATGGTTATGAATTTTCCATATTTCCCTACTTGAATAAAGACACAAATCTTGAAGTATGAGAAATCTGAAGAATACTTGGGTAAATAAAAATTAATTCAAGTCTCGATGATGGAAATTACAGAAAATCTTCAAGTTTACTATAGATAGGGCAGATTGCTCACAAAGAATAACAACTAGATCATGACTGACTCAACTCAGCAACAGTGGAGACAAGAAGACAATTGATCATTGCCAAAAAGAATTCAATACCCAGCTAAACGATTACTGAAAGAGAGTTAAATAATGGCATCTTCAGACCTATTAAATACTATGAGTTAACCATTCCTGCATCTTCACTGAAAGACGAATAGGATTGCACACCAACAGGAAGGAAACTGAACCCAGAGGTAAGAGTGAGATGTAAGCAGCAAAGGAAATGTCGATGAATCAGTAAGCAGAGTGATAAATCTTGATAAGCAGTGACTTTCAAAACACTATTTCGGCAGGGAGCAGACATAACAAAATAGTATGAAGTGTTAGATAATAATAACAAGTATATGAGGAGTTGACCTCTGAGTGTTGTTTTAGAATAGGTTGGATAAAATAGGTTCTTAAGTACACATGTTAACAATTTAGAGGTAACTAAAAAATAATGGAATTAGAATGTACAGCTTCAAAACCAGTAGAAGACAAAAAAGAATCCAACAGAAGGCAGAAAAGAGGAGAGAAAGAGACCAAAGAGAAAGCTTGATTAATGGAAACACTAAATATAATACTATAAATAATTCCAGATAAATCAGCAGTCATAATAAATGTAATGAATTATCAGCCATCTATCAAAAACAAGATAGCAGATTGAATTTTTAAAAGATTTTTGGCCAATACAAAAAAGGATTAAATACACACATGTATTTATATTCATATATATACATGTTTATGTATATATATATATATATGAATACATCACTGATCTTACTGGAACAATGCTGAGTTTTGCCATTGTCAAAGGTCAAGTTTGCAAAAGATTCAATTTGTCATCCTCAGCAAGGTAATGTGACACCTACCCAGCCCAGGGTCCTCTGAGGAGACTTGAAGATAGTGTCCCAGACTTAGTGTCAGTGTATCACAAAAGAGCCTCAGTAAGAAATAGGAAGAGAGTTCTTGCCATTTAATTTTGGAAGCAAAAGAGCAACAAAAAAACAACCATTTTGATTCGGTGTGTACGACCAACAATATGCTAAGCATACTATTGCACAAGTAAATATTGTCAGTGCTAGGAAAATAAAATACATTCTACACCAACGATAGAAAGAAAATGAAAACATTTTCAAAAAGCAACTCACCTACATTATTTCTCTGCATTTTCTTCTATTGCTTTAATGTGTTTTGTTTAGTTTTGAAAGAAAGGAGTGCAAAATTTGGTGCTAGGCTTTGTTGGGTAGACAATAAATTAATGAAACTGGGCAGAGGCCACTTGAAGCCCTTGGCTGTGTTGACGTGGAAGTGTTCTCTTGTGTGTGTCTTAGAGGGTGGAACATGTTTGACTTGTGGGAAGGTCGATCATATTTACACATTTGGCATTAAATAAACCCAGTGGCCCTCAAACTCCTCTTCATTGTAAAATCATCTGAGGGTCTTAAAAAAATTCCAAGACTAGACCACTTAAATCACAATCTCTGGGAGTGGGAGACAAGCACCAGCTATTTCTGAAGCTGGCTGCATGACCCCAATGTGCAGGCACGCTTGGGAACCAGGGCCCTAAGGGGAATGGCAACAGGTGTAACTTTTAAACTGGAACAGAGCCTTGTGATTTAGGGATTTGATGCACTTCAGAAAAGCTCTAACATCAAGCCAATGCCAAGACATCTTATTTTTTTAAAGAGGGTTTTTTGCTTTCTTTCTGAGCCTTTCTCCCCACCGTGCTGCAGCTAAAAAGTGTAAATACCAAAAGTTTAAGAATAAGGGTTCATAGTCTCATTATAGTTAATTTACTGAAGACCATCTTCCAACTCACACATTTCCAAACCAAATGAAGTACCCTATCCTCCATACACCTGGCTCACCCTTATTACAGGCTATTGATACCTGCTGGCCCTCTGAAGGAAATACTAGCTTCTATTTCTAATGATACTAGTGTTGAAAGAGAAGGAGAAAGAGAACATGAGTGAGAGGAAGAGAGAGGGAGCAGCATAGGTTACAGTTCATAGTGAACTGCCACTGTTTGCTGCCACCTAATGGACATATAGCATGTACTACACAAAATTCATCTGTAGTCATAGTGCCTATGATACAGAGGAGCTCAATCCCGATCACGGTGGAATCTATTTTTATTTACAAAAACTTTGGGAGCATCACCAACTTCACACCAAGTGCATAAATGTGGATATTTTTGTAAGCGGTGCTTTCAGAAGGCCAAATATTCTCTACAACATGCTTTTTACCTTAGTTTAATTCTTGCAGGCACCTCCACTTTGTTTCTTAAAACCCCAAATCTAGTTTACCAAAGATTTTTCCTACGTATATAATGTAATTAACAGATTCATGTAATGAATCTCCCTGACCTTTCAATATTGGAGTACCTCAGGGCTCAGTGACTGGATTTCTTCTGTGTTTTATCGACCCCCTTGGTGATCTCAGTCGGCTGTATGGCTTTAAATACTATCTACACACACATTTATATCCAACGTTTATTTCTCCAGGTCGGACTTGTCCCCTGAATCTCAGATTCATGGCTCACACTCTCCCCTCGACACCTCTTCTTGGATGTCTGACGGCCACGTCCTAACATGTCTAATCGTTGTTCTACTATTACCTCCTCCTTCCAGCACCCCGGCTCCCCATCCCCGCCCCAGTCTTCCCATTTCAGGAAATGGCAACTCCTGTTCTTCAGTTGCTCAGACCAAAAACTAGAGTGGAGTCACTCTTGATTCTTCTCCTTTCATCACACCTCCCATTAAATCCTTCATGAAATGCTCCTGGATACTTCCAGAATCCTAATTCCTCCACTCCACTGCCCACACCCTGGTCTAAACCATCAGCCCTCACCTAGATTATCCAGTGGCCCCCTGCAGTCTATACTCAGAAAGCAGCCAGTCCTTAAATCCTAATCGCATCCTGTCACTCCTGTTTAAAACGCCCCAGGGGCTTCCCACCTCACCCAGAAAACCGGAAGTCTTTGCAATGGCGCCCAAGAGTGTAGATCTGGCCTCCAACACTTCCTGACCTTATTTTGCACCATTCTTCCCCTTCCTCGTTATCACCCCAACTGCACTGGTCTTGCTGTTCCCCCGACCTCGCGGACTCACCTCCCCCACAGGACCTTTGTGCTGGCTGTTCCCTGGACTGTTTCCTCACTTCCTTCAGATCTTTAATTCAAATGGTCTGCTCACAGCTCCTCCATCCCACTTCCTTCACCTCCACCATTCAACATCTTGTTTTTCCTCCTTAGCACTTATCATCACACTGAACCTATTTCTTTTCGTTTGTCTGTCTCCTTCCTCCCTGCACCCCCACCCGCCAGCACCCCCTCCAGCAGAGGGGCTGGGGTTTGTCCTGTATTCTCCTTGCTCAGTCTCCTACCTGACCAGAGGCGGTAACTCAGTATTTGTTTAATAAATGAATCATGTTTAGTTTATTTTAATGGGTGGGAGAAGGTATCATCTAATGAACTGGAAAAATAAGGAGACAACAGACCTGTAGTTGCCTTTATTTCCTGATGTTAAAATGGCTACCTTTCAATGTTCTCTGATAACATTTACACTCTGATCCTTTGCTGAAACACAGCATTGTAACCTGTTTTCAACAAGGTTAACACACTAATTCTGCATCTTGGCATTTAACTTCCAGAAGGTATGATACCTAAACTTTCCTAGGATTCTTGTTTTCATTAATCCGAAATGTTTTTAAATGAACCAGGTCAAAAGACAGCAAGGAACTGTCACTGGGTGATTACACAAGGGCTGATGCGCACTGCTTGCAAGGGCCACTGCGTCCCCCTGCTCCCACCTTGCCCTCTTCCCCGAGGTGGTCTAAAGGCCACAGCCCTGGGGAGAGCAGGGATGGGCCTTCACAGTCCTGCCTGGCAGAGCAGCACCCACCCATTTCTCCAGGCCGCTTCACCTGAGGAACCCGGCCCCCGCCAGTGACTCACCCTAGTAGGCGGTGGCAGGGTAGTGAGGAGAGACATGGAGTAAGAACAAACTGCGGGTGTAAACATACCACTGCTCCCCAGTGAGAACGCTGACAGACCACCGCCTGGCAGGCATCTTCTATTTTCAGTACTGAACTGTGTGCATGCACCCACTGTGAGTTGAGTGACATTACTGACGCGCCTGTGTAACGATGGCAGATGATGTGGGAAATCCTTTGAGACTCTGGAGGTGACTAGCCGGGGAGCTAGTACCTTAGGCCCTGCCCAGCATCCCCCACATGCTAAGACCAACAGCTTGAGGCAAACTAGTTGAGCAGCTCTAAACAATCAAAACGGAGCTCCTGGCCATCTGACATTCTCTCTGGGCAGCGCTCTAAGTGTGCTGGCGTGATCGTACATCTGCCTCATGCACACCACGGGCATCACACGTACCAGATTGGGTGTCTGTAAATTTGGCTAAGTGTGGTCAAATATGGCTTTCTATTCTATAATTTACAGAGTAGGCTCTCTTTCCAGATTATTTTTAGTTTACTATTAAAATGTTTCTTTGAAAATGCAAAATCTAAGCAAACTCAAATATCAAATTTAGAAGTACTTAGACATAAAATTATGGTATCCCAAATGATACAACAAATTTGTGGTCATACACATATTAGAAAACACCTGGTATTTTTTTAAAGCATAAGGGCCACTGCGTCCCCCTGCTCCCACCTTGCCCTCTTCCCCGAGGTGGTCTAAAGGCCACAGCCCTGGGGAGAGCAGGGATGGGCCTTCACAGTCCTGCCTGGCAGAGCAGCACCCACCCATTTCTCCAGGCCGCTTCACCTGAGGAACCCGGCCCCCGCCAGTGACTCACCCTAGTAGGCGGTGGCAGGGTAGTGAGGAGAGACATGGAGTAAGAACAAACTGCGGGTGTAAACATACCACTGCTCCCCAGTGAGAACGCTGACAGACCACCGCCTGGCAGGCATCTTCTATTTTCAGTACTGAACTGTGTGCATGCACCCACTGTGAGTTGAGTGACATTACTGACGCGCCTGTGTAACGATGGCAGATGATGTGGGAAATCCTTTGAGACTCTGGAGGTGACTAGCCGGGGAGCTAGTACCTTAGGCCCTGCCCAGCATCCCCCACATGCTAAGACCAACAGCTTGAGGCAAACTAGTTGAGCAGCTCTAAACAATCAAAACGGAGCTCCTGGCCATCTGACATTCTCTCTGGGCAGCGCTCTAAGTGTGCTGGCGTGATCGTACATCTGCCTCATGCACACCACGGGCATCACACGTACCAGATTGGGTGTCTGTAAATTTGGCTAAGTGTGGTCAAATATGGCTTTCTATTCTATAATTTACAGAGTAGGCTCTCTTTCCAGATTATTTTTAGTTTACTATTAAAATGTTTCTTTGAAAATGCAAAATCTAAGCAAACTCAAATATCAAATTTAGAAGTACTTAGACATAAAATTATGGTATCCCAAATGATACAACAAATTTGTGGTCATACACATATTAGAAAACACCTGGTATTTTTTTAAAGCAAAATTACTCTGGTAAATAAGGAAATATTTCTGAATATGGTTTCATTTTGGAATACATTATGTATGATTTAGGTTGCCACAGTACACAATACAGCAGCACGCTGGACGCCACCACGAGTAAGATACACACAGGTAGTGAAATTCTACTTCAAGATCAAGAGGTGGTAAGTACCAATAAACATAAAGAGAAACCAAGTCGATGGAGTGCTGAATGTTTAATGTGCGGCGCATGTGGCGTAATACAACTGATGCAAGTGTGTTTGTCATTTGAAAATGTTACTGAGAAGAATTAGGATTTTGCATTGTATTAACTGTTACCAGCTTAATAAATATAAACATATTTATCAAAAAACATTTCCAATAAAATTGTAAGTAAAATTACTTTTATTTTCATAAATAGATGATTTGTTATACAAACACCTTTAGCAGAATGGTAGCTGTCAATACCCAGTTTAAACTAAGTATGAAATGTATGCAACAGTTAAATAGTTATAGTCTCTCCATAACCCTCATGCCACTTCTTTATATTTAACTCCTTAAAATTCTCAGTACTACTTCAAAGAATATGATAAATAATGGAATACTTTAGTTACAAAGTGTCATCTTTACTGAGTCAACTGAATATATTATCTGCTTATGTCAAAGCCACCAATTACTGATTGAAGGTAATGCCAGTATTCACTGCGTTTGACAGAAGCACTGAGCATATAACATTTCATTCCATATGTGGTAGTGTGAGCCACAGAAATGTTAATGTGAAAATTTAGTAACCCAGTTAATAAGTACTATTATATAAGATAAATAGGTCCTATATGCTGAGACTAATACCCTGGTATCAAGTACTGTTTAGAGCAAGTGATTTTGTACTAAGTATTACACATAATACAGTGAAATTTAATTAAAATAATTTTTGTACAGTCAGCCAAATAAAATTAAGTATCTGTTGTTACTCCACTTATTCTGGAAACTGCAGCTTGAAATATTAAGTGCTATACACAGCAAGGAGTAATTAGCATTTCCATGTATTAAAAATCTCACTGATTCTATGCAGCTTTTTTCAGGAGTATAAACTATAATTTAGGCATTTACTTGAGCACAATATTCAGATAGGCATGATCTACTTTTAATTCATAATGAAATGTGTATTTCTATTTCAGCACTTTATACAGATTTTAATTACTTTTCACAGAGTTGCTGTGTGGATTCAATGGCTGCAGTGCTCAGTACAGTGCCTGGCACATTTTCAATATATACTATTACTATTATTCCTATTATGTCAATTAATCTGTCATTTATAATAGGGAAACTAGCTAACTCCCTAAGAGAATAATCAAAAGACAAACCTACAGATGTGTGACTTTTGTTACAGTATAATGTGTCCACTATTTCCCAACTTTGTGTATATACTAAAGTAAGTATTACAAGCTATTTTTAAGATCATACTGTATCTGCTGGCTGAGTTTTTCTATGGCCTTTGGCCTAAAGCAGCACAATTTTGACAGGATATGTGTATTAGAAAACATTTAAAAATGAAAGTATACTGAAATCAGACATTTTATAACTTGTGTAACAAAGAAGGAGAGAGTTACCAGTGTAATTTAAGACAACCTATCTTGTTAAGGTTAAAATTTATATCATGCAATATTTGACTTTTGCAAAAACATTTTCATTCTTGTCTTATCTCATATAGAAATGCTAACAGCTGTTACAAAGTTTTGTTCTTTAAGTAAAAAAATTCATTAGAAAAGGTACCTGTAAAAATCACCACAGGTTTATAGGGACTGAAAGGAAGTGCAGGGCTACCAGAATAGGAGTTAAGGTCCCAACATACCTATAAACACTGATTTTCGAGTAAATTATAAGTTCTAATAAATACAAAGGATTTGGTATTAAGATTTCTGATCTATAAGTGTGACTTTTTTTCCCACCAGAAAACAACGGACTTGCAACATAACAAGCCTGTGCTGCAATTCCTTAGGAGAGAGGGAAGAAAAGCATGAAAAACCGACCCGTCATTCTTCTGGTATCAAGGAAGAGGAAGGAAAATCAACTTTTTTGTGAAGACATTAAAACATACCTGAAACCACATGATTCTGGCCCTATATTAACCTGGAATTTATTACTACCCAGAGTTCAGGGGGAAAAAAAAACAAACCCAGCCCCCAAATATGCCCTTCAGAGGCACAATAAAATCTTTCACACGTTGTCCTGATTAAAAAGGAGTCTAGAACAAAACACAAACATCCCCACTATATTAAAAATCAAGAGCAAATAAACTGAAGGTAGTTTATTCAGTTATACTCTGTATTAAATTATTCTATAAGTTTCAGAGAAATCACTTTAAGAAATACGAAGTTCCATGATTTCTCTTATCTGCCAGTAGAGAAAGTCAAAATGCACAGTGCGTCAGTGTATTTTAGGAGATGTGGCACCCGGTGTCCTTTTGAGGTTTGATGTCTGGTTCTTTCACAGGTTTCACCACTTCTTCTGGTTTGGGTTTGGTCTAGAGAGAGGAAAACACTCTTTTAGTACATAAACTAAGATTTGGAGGAAAAAACC